TCCATGACACTGTACCATGCTGAGGTCCCTCTCCTGCCCAAACCCCACCTTATCCAGGCTCTACCCCCAAAATCTCCAGGTATTCCCCATCCCATAGCTGTCAAGCCTAAGTCAATGAATATGGGCTCCTTCCTGTTTCTCCTGCATGGAGAGTACACTTATATAACTGGATGAGTGATAATTGTTGGAACTTTCATGCAGGATGTCTCTTTACCAGACCCTAGTCACACATTTAGCTTTTGAGTTGGGGTTTAAATAACCACTTCTAGAACTGTGTGGCTGCCATCAAAGGCAACAGCTAGGTACCTTCCTGTGTTCCCATGTAATGTCTACTGGTTCTCAGTATGTGATGACATTACATTGTGTGATTCTCCATTTGACCCCCCCCCCTCAAAGTCTAAAATAGCAGCCAAACATTAATAATAAATTACCATAATTAAAATTAACTAACCTCCCAATAAAACTGGAAAAATCATACAGGGGTCATTTTGTAAAAAAAAAAAGGAAGGAAGGAGGGAAGGAAGGAAGGAAGAAAAGGAAGGAAGGAAGGAAGGAAGGAAGGAAGGAAGGAAGGAAGGAAGGAAGGAAGGAAGGAAGTGAGTGGCAGCCACGTGGCTTCTGTACTCAAGTTCCGCTCCCATTAAAGTGCAGTTCTCATGTGCTGGTAAAAGGAATGCAAGACTATTAAGTATCACACCATTGTCTTTAGGGTTGCCATTTGTGATGTGCCTGTGTCACCCTGAAGTGACGTCGGTGACGTTGGAGTGACACTCTGGATTTTGGACAAAACTCTATGGTCTGATGCCAATTTTACCATGGAATGTTACCCAAAATCCAGAGCATCATTGGCAACATGCCGACATCACTTCCCACTCCCAGAACATCCTCCCCAGCCCTCTGCCAGCTGGCGAAAGGGACCTGGCAACCCTAATTGTCTGTAGTACATAAAATTTATACAGCAACATGCCCTGACCTGGATGGACCAGGCTAGCTAGTCTCATCAGATCTCAGAAGCTAAGCAGGGTTGGGCCTAGTTAGTATTTGGATGGGAGACCATCTACGAATTCCAGGGTTGCTATGCCAAGCCAGGCAATGGGAAACCACCTCTGAACATCTCTTGTCTTGAAAACCCTATGGGGTCTTTACAAGTCAGCTGTGACTTAGAGATTATTCTAAGGGTTCAGTAACTGGAAAAAATCTTTAATATCATTTATTAAGACCAGTCAGAATATTGCAAAACAACGTATAAGCATTCAAGTTCTTCAGAACTCTTCATCAGGTTGGGTGTTACAGAAATGGGGGGGGTGCTTCAGGCCATAATATAAAGGCCTCTGGTCAGGGGTCGTTTCGTAGAAAAAGAGCTAGGGGAACTCATTAGCATAACTCATTAGCATATGCCACACACCCTGACATCACCGGAAGTGTGTCATAAGGCCACACACCCTGCCCCCAACGGTCCCGGCCGGCGGGAGTGCAAGGAAGCCCCGCGAAGGCCCTCCCTGGCCCCAGGCAGGCAGGGGTGGGGAGAGGCAGGGAGGAAGCAACTTACCCTCCCTCTTCTCCTGCCTCCTCCTGGCTGAATGAGGGCCGGAAGCGGGGCGGCCGGAAGCAGGGGGCGGGGCTTCGTCATGTGCCCCGCCCCCCCGTACCTCACCTGGGGGAACTGTGATCCCCTGCGATCCCCCCTGAAATGACCTCTGCCTCTGGTTTGTATGTTGTGTGTGAGGTTTTATGTCGGAGGTGTTGCAAGCTAACAGTGCAATCCTGAAAAGAGTTATAGCCTTCTAATATCCTTGAAGTCAATGGGCTTAGAAGGCTGCAATTCTACGTAGGTTTGCCCTATAAATTAATTAAATGGAGCTGCTTTTGAATTCCACGTAGTCTTTGGGGAAGAAGAGAAAATGGCTCTCTGCCCTTGAAACTCTAAAAGCCAGCAGCTAATCAGACATGTCTCCAGCAAGCGGGGAGGGGGGGAGATAGTTTTTACATTGTTAAAGTGAAAGATAAAGATAAATGATGCAGTAGGTAAAGTGTCGATGGATGCCATATTGAAAATCTAAAGGAAGTAAGCCAAACTGCAGGTCCTGGGTTCAGTCCTATGACTCACTCCCCCAAGTTTCAGGCGGGTAGCTGCTCTGGTCTTAGGGTTGCCAGGTTCCAACGACGTGCTGGCAGGGGGTGGGAGGGAACTTTCTGGGAGCAGGGAGGAGCTCTGTGATGCGCCTATGTCACCTGGAAGTGATGTAGGCATGTCGGGTGGCAATACTCTGGTTTTGGGGCAAAACTCTATGGTACCCAATGTCCCCAACATGCCTACATCACTTCACATGGGCACGTTGCGTTTATTTCTGGCTTCTTGGAGGTAAAAGGGGGTAACTGGGGGAGAGAGGATTTGACTCTTGCTCTCCCCCAAGTTGGATCCTTTGACTCCTTTCTGCCAAATTTTCCTTCATCAGAAAAAAAAAATCTTCCCCCCACCAAAGGAGGACTTAACATAAAGGCATCGTAGGGTCCAGTTCCTTGTGTATGCACTTAACTGGGGGGTAACGATAATTTGGTTTTCCTTCGCATCAGTATCAGACAAAGCTGTATGTGCTCCGGAAAGTGAGTCTTATCATTCATGATTTTCAGCATCCTGAGTCTGTAGAGATCCGTGGAAAGTTCTAATTGGCCTCCAGTTGTTCATTAGAGTTGCCCTAGGAGATAATAATATACATGAACGAATGCATCGAACGAGCATTCAACCTACCTGTTAAAATATGTATTTCCTGGGGTGCTGGTTTTAATTAAACACCTGCATTTTTTTAAGCAATCCATTTTGTTTAATTTTTTTGTGCATGGTGTAGCAATCTTTGTGTGAGAGAAACTGTACGTGAGGGAGGAAGGGTTCTGATTCTTTTTTTTCTTTTGCCAGAGAGATTAGTGGAGCTGACCTGGGGCTATAATGAAAATAATTATATTACAAGCTGAAAAGAACAATATAGGCACCTGATGGGTTGAAAATTAGTTTCCCCCTTTGAGGTTTTCAGCTTGGTAGACTAGGGGCGGGGAAGATGAAAGTAAGCAGCGGTAGGCAGAAGTGCATACCCAATTTCAGGCAGAAAGTATTTTCTTTGTCCAGTGTAGAATTCTTTTTTTAGGATTGCAGTGCACACTTCCTATCATTAGGACTTTTGTTAATCTTCTGATTATGGAGAATCAGGCAGATCCTGGGTCTGCAAAAGTTGGCAATTGCTATTCAAAGATGTCAATGCACCTTTTCGGCATCATTCTCACAAACAACTAGGGATGCCAGCTTCCAGGTAGGACCTGGGGATCGCCCGGAATTACAGCTCATCTCCAAACTACAGAGATCAGTTCCCCTGGAGAAAATGGATGGCTTTGGAGGGTGGACTCTATGCCATTGTGCCTCACTGAGGTCCCTGTCCTCCCCAGGCTCCACCCCCAAATCTCCAGGTGTTTCCCCACCTGGATCTTGCAACGCTACCTCCCTCCTTTCTCCACCGGTGGCCAGGGGGAAACTGACAACCCTAGAAACAACACATGAGGTAGCAAGCTTGTGCCTGGGCAGAACCACTTGAGGCTGCAGATTTGGGTTTGCATGATAAACGTTTCTCTATGCAAAGAAAAGTATTCCTTGTGTGTAAGAAACTAACTATCAAAGGGAAGAGTTCTGGCCTTTTCCTCTGGCATACTCGTTCACTTGCTGTTTTTGAGTGCTGCACCTATGAAGAAATGTAGATGTTCCACATTCAGCCTGCCTGGGCAGGAAATGGACAGACATTAAAACAGCCCTGGAGTGAGCAAAGCCAAGAGGTGGCTGTGGTTTTGGCAACACCCTAGGGGCCCCCTCAGCCTGTTGTGACTGTGAGGTATAAGCCCACCAGTTGAACATCTTCACCCAACATCTTAAACCACTTGCCTCAGTTTATTCCTGGTGCATAAAAAGGCCAGTCTGCCCCTAATCTGGGCATGTCAGCACCGCAAGTCTAAAGTGCAATGACTTTCAGTCCAAGAAAAGCAAGGACAATTTGTAGTTTAGTGAAGTGGACAAGGATTTCCATCATAATTCCAAGCACCTTCCTATGCTATGTTTTCCAGGGCTTTTTGCAGATAATACAGACTGTTAAACCATCTTGAAATGGTTTTAGAACATCTGTGCTTTTTCCACAACATGGAACTAGAGCAGTACCCACATTGGTCAGCTCTGTGCCTCACAGTGTCTCAGCTGCAGTTATCTTCCCTTACTTGTATAGTGCTTCATTTCCAGGAAGCACTGTATGCTGGCATGTTTAATGAGATGGAGTTCTTGGAAAATCCAGGTAACTCACAACACAGTGTGACAATCTTACGGCATGGAAAGTTGTCTGACCATTCCAGAGAAATCAAAATTTGTGTGCTTCCGAATGTTCACAGTCCTACCCTACTGTTTGTAGTAAATAATTGCTAAAACAGCAGTAGCAGTTTTCCATCTCTTCAGTGCTGGTGTGTCTGAAATTGTACTGTATTAAGGGATCTGGCATGGCATCCCACAAATGGTCACTTCCAAGCCTAGTTAGAGGCAAGCAGTTTATTCTAGATTATTTACTCCTTATTTCATGCATGAGTGCAGGATGTAAAAAAAAAAAAAAGTTAAGTCCCTGGAAGGCACTTGTAGTTTTCCACTAGGAGAACAAGAAGCTAGTTATGACTGCACTAGAGTTACCCCAGTTTAATGGGCTCCCACTGAACAAGCTCGCCTTTATTGTGGAGCCTCATAAGAACCTGATTTAGGAAAACTTGCTCTTACTCTCCTGGGTCTACATCCCACCTGCCTCACAAACTCTGGAATCCAGCTGATGTAATGTGGTGTTCGTTTAGCATAACGAGTGCTATTTTGAGATTGTCCATTTGTATGTAAATAAGCTTAGAGAGAGCTTGCTCAATAATCCTGGGCTCAAAATAAGCCCATATCGCAGACTGCCAAGTTTACTGCTAATTTTGTCTGTTTTCTTCTGTAGGCGTTTAAATACTTTAAACAAATGTGCAGCAATGAAGCTAGAAATCAGTCCACACAGGAAATGGGTAAGTGCATTTCAAGCACGGGAGGGAATTGCCTTGGTTGATATTCTTGCAGCTCGATTCCATGTGTATTTGTTAAGGAGTAAGCCCCATTGAGACCAAGGCCTGCTGAAAAAAAGGTTAAAAATAAGCGAGACACACTTGGCTCTGCATGAAGATGGCATTTCACAATATGGAGGTCTAGTACCTGCTCCTGGTACTAAAGAATCTGATTTCCACAAAGAATGGAATGGGCCACATTGAATGATTGGGAGGGGTCCTAGGGTTGCCAGGTCCCTCTGCCAACCAGTGGCGGGGGGAGACTATGTTGCTGGTGACATGGCCACATCACTTCTGGCGTGACTGTGAAGGGACACCATCACACTGCAGTGTCATGGCAGTGCTCTGGTATTTGGGCAAAAACTCTATGGTAAAAAATGGCTTCTTTCACAGAGTTTTTGTTCAGATACCAGAGTGTTGCAGTGATGTGTATACCAGAAGTGATGTCATCACGTTGCCAGCAACATAGCCTGGGCCTAGCTCTTGTCCTTGTTAAGTCCCCCCCCCATCGGCCAGCTAATCAGCAATGGGGGGCGTGGACTGGCGGCAGGGGATCCCTCCCCTCCAGAGGATGGGGCTGGCAACCCTAGGGGGTACTGATAGTTAGCATGCTGGTTGTTGTAGAGCACCTTGGAAATGTTAGTAGTAGACAGGCACTTAAAGACACAAGATAATCCTGAACAAGATCCATTGAAATGCTTTTTCTTGAATAACTTCTTCATCTATTATCTTGTGCAAGAGCAGCACTCATACAATTTTTGTCCATTGATCAAGACTGCCATGTTATGTACAGACATTTTGTAATATGTTCCATTGAGTAATGTGGGGCTTTCTTCCAAAGCCTTGCACAGAGTGAGGCATAACCTTAGACAATAAAGGGCTGCCTGACCATAGGAACATTCATTCTAAATATGACACAGTTATTTGACAGAGCCATTTTATGTCCTCTTGCCTTGGGGCATTCAGGAAGCATTGAACAGGTGCCAAAGGATGATGAGTATTACTTGATTGCCATTGAAGTCGAAAGTAAAATCCCCACTTGTGTTTCATAAATGTATTTGTGGGGTTTCCATACTGCTTTTCAACAGGCCACAAAAAGCAATTAAAAATTAATATTACAATAATAACAACAATCCATATAAACCATCCAGCTAAATAATCTATAGCCATACGATAAGGATTAACTTCCCAAAGCACAACAAAACCAAATTACGCTCAGTTGTTTGTGGAATGCTGTGGACAGGGAGCTTAAATGAACCACCTACAAACTATAAAGCAGCAACTGAAAAGGCTTGGTTCCTTCTAGAAGCTAATCTGGCTTCAAAATAAATACAAAGGAAGTTCTCACTGTCTGATTTTAACTTTGGGCAGGTTCACATGGGACTTAACTGGTTTTAACAGAGCTACATGCCATCGGAGATTGTGTCCTAATTTTAGTTTATTTAAACAACTAATGAAAAGGTACAGCATATTTGCTCTCGTTTCCATGATCAAAGGTGGTGATCATTATTAATGTAGCATCGATTATATGTAAACAGGAATTGGCCACAAAATGTAGAGGCTGAAGTAAGATCACTAGTCTTGAGTGGAACCCATTCCCAGTTTTCAGCTTTAAAAATATCAGAGTTCAAGAATTACTAAAATTCAGTAATCGGCAGCATGAGGTTTAATATGCTAAAATGTTAACGCTGCCAGTATCAAAATAGGAGTTTTTTTTTTTTTTAAGATTATTGCCTCAGAATTGCAACAGACTAGCATCACCTGGTACTCACAAGACCTCTCTGCTAGATAAATACTGTTTTGATGCTTTGCTATCCAAGGAAAAATTCTTCATTCTAAATCAGTATTAACCACTGTCAGCCATAGAGAGAATGAAGGGAGAGCTTCTTTTCACTTATGCGCCTACCTGGGAGTAGTGCCACTTCTGTGCAAGCATTCAAACACACAGTAACTTCCACATTCGACTGTTAACACATGATTGTCACCTCTGAAATAGAAAGGTGCAGTATCATATTAGATATATGGCATGGGCAGTTACATCTGCACAGCTCTCCTTTATATCTCCTGACTTTGATGACCAACAGAACACAATGGCCAAACGTTCAGCAAAAATTCAGCAGGCAACAGTGCTTCCGCACAAAGATGTTCTCCTTGTCTTCTTCTCCTGCTGGCCATTTCCCATTGCCACCAATGGACAAGGGAGGTTTATTGTTACTGGTTTGTCAGTATATCTGCTGTAGTGTTTTAACAACCTGCGACCGATAATTTTTAAAAAACTTGACCAAAAGCCTACCAGTGGCATTTGGGAAATGATGCAGAACACAGACACAGAGGTGCAGCGATCCATACTTTTCCTTGCACACCTACTTTGGGTACGATTGTCTAGGAAAGGTTGTACCAGAACAGGTTGGGAAAATCACAACAGAGCTAGAAAAACCCTAGGTAAAGCTAAAGGTTTCCTTTGCTTGAAAGCCAGTCGAGTCCAACTCTAGGGTTGCGGTGCTCGTCTCCGTTTCAAAGCCGAAGAACCAGCGCTGTCCAAAGACTTTTCTGTGGTCATGTGGCCGGCATGACTAAACACCAAGGCGCACGGAACGCTGTTACCTTCCCACCGAAGTGGTACCTATTTATCTACTTGCAATTTCTTGCTTTCGAACTGCTAGGTTGGCAGGAGCTAGGTCTCTGGGGCACCACGCTAGTCTAACCAAACAAAAGGGAGGAAGGTGGAACAGTAGTCTTTTTTTTTTTAATATGGCCACACCTGACTCCACTCGCTGTGTTGAAAGTGTGGAAGGAATAAAATAAACATTTTGTGTTGCTTTTTGTGTGTGTTCTTCACATCTATAAACACCGGAATTGACTTTGTAAACATATACACTGCTTTGAAGGTAATGTTTCACCTTGTGATATTTTTGCACCTCTGTCAATAACGCACATTTTCCTCTTTCCTCTTTTGTGAACAGTTAATCCAATTTTAAATAAACTATCCATCAGCCCCATTCTTGTCAGTGCAAATCACAGCAGGGCAGAGGCAGGTTGTATGACCCGGGCAATGTGCTTGCCTTCAGGCCCTGCGCCCAGTGCAATTCTGAAAGAATCACAACCTTCATGTGATAGTTCTGTTGGGGGGGGATCTTCTCTTCAGAAAAACTAAAGATTTAGTAGTACTCCATTGCATTGTTGTTGTTGTTGTTTAAAAAGGAAATTCAGACTTATTGCCCAGGAGGAGTTTGCATGGAGAGAGGGGAGTGAGCATAGGTTTGTCAAAATAATTATAAGTGACAAGAGGTTTACCTCCTCTTTCTTTTCTTCTGTGGTAATTCCCTCATTAGTCTATTCAGAGAGCTTTTCCATTTGGCTTTTATACTACAAACTGTTTGGAAGCAGGTGCTGAAAAGCAGTCGAAAAATAACATAAAAGCAAATAACAGGACCCAAAAGAATAAATGTTTCAGTTGTTCCATCCATTTGTGTAACATTTCTCTCTCGTGTTAAATGAAGTGGCTTACAGCTGTACAGTAAAATTCAACACCAAGAACACTATTCTTGTATCTTTTATTAGGACCAACCAAATGACATATAACAGTGTGTTATGTGTCCTTTGGTTGCTCTTAATGAAAGGTATTAAATTGACTGTGTTCTTGGTCCCAAGTTAAGTGGAAAGCAAAGCTTTCTAGTGTCAGATTTGAAAAGCAGAATGGACTTTGTATGTTGAGCCATCCCTCTTGAACGATGCCTCTTCAGTAATCAGGGAAGGGCTACAGGTAACAGCAACGTCGATGGTTATTTATGCGCACCCTCAGCTGACTTCTGCTTCTCAGTGTCAGTCAAATTAATATTTGCCTGCAGCAGAGTCTGAAAAAATGACCCTTCTCAGGCATTCTTACATGGTCAGCTGCTGGGCTGTGGGAAGAAGGCAAGACTGGGTAAAGCCCAGAGTCATCAAACTGCACCAGCCTAATAGGCTCTTTCACGGTCTCATTAGTCACACTTGGAAGGTAAAAAGTTAAGCTGCTACAGTTCAGAATGCCTCTTAATTACAGTCAGGAAAATAAACAGGGAAGCCCTGTCAACAGAGGCCAACATGCCCTGCCCTCCTGGACTCCAGTCGAACATTTCAGGCATGCCATCATTTTTCATTGATCTAAATGGCATCCAGTTAAATATCTGTGCATATCAGGTCTAGTGGGAGTGACCAGCAGGGGGCAGATTGGATTGATTTCTGAAGTTCCTTCATTCAATAAAGCAATTTTTCGGTTACGTACCCCTTTCTAAAAAATTAATCAAAACAGAAATGGCACCTTTAGACTAACCACATTTATTTCAACATAGGCTTGTCACAAAAGGTGCTACTTTATGTTCAATGGGCTTGTTACAACTGAAACTGAAGACTGTTCGTGTTATCGCCATTATATGGCAGAAGGCCAAATTGTGCTAGACCTACCTGTTCTAGAACTCCTTTGGGGGTTTGGTTGATTGTGTATTCAGGATAGTGCTAACTGAGGGTGGGCTGGAAATGCCACAAAATACATACAGCTATGGGGCAGTGGTTTGGGGGAGACACTAGGCAACATCTAAAGCCTCACATGAACAAGAGCTTCCTGTTTGTTCATTTATTTGTTACTTTTTAGCAGCTCTCCATTGAGGAGGCCAAGTCTTCTCGGCACACATATACTTTTTACCCTCCAAATTTTGCCTTTGTTCTGGAGTCTGTCCCCCTTGGGTGAACCCAGAAAGCTTGGAGGAAGCCTTCGGCTGCTGATGCAAAACAACAGGGAAGTGTCTAGACCAGCCTAACGTTGAGACAGTCAATTCAAAAATGTGTAATGAGGAACTGTCTTCATTGTGGCTGTCCCATTTCATTGCAGAGTGAAGATTCTGATGAAGATGAGCCTTGTGCAATAAGTGGCAAATGGACATTCCAGAGGGACAGCAAGAGGTGGTCCAGGCTGGAGGAATTTAATGTGTTCCCTCCTAAGCAGACTCCAAACGCCACATCCCCAGAGGAGGCTCAGCTTAGCAGTGCCGCCAGCCATGAAAGTGTGCTGACAGACCTCAGTGAACACCAAGAGATCGTTTCCGTCCACAGCATCAGCAGCGGCAGCAGTCATCCAGCCGCCTCCCCAAGCGAAGCAGCCACCACCAGAACCAATTCCGTCATTAGCGTTGGCTCATCAGGCAACCTTGTGGCCAATGAAGACTCCTTCAGCAGTTTGCCTTCTCCCAAAGAGCTGTCGAATTTCAGCTTCAACGGAAAAACAACTGAGAAGAACACCAAGTCCAAAACAAGAAGCCTTTTAAAGAGGATGGAGAGCCTAAAAATTAAAAGCTCCCATCACGGTAAAAACAAAGCCCCTTCAAAACTTGGCCTCATTATCAGTGGTCCCATCCTGCAAGAAGGCATGGATGAAGAGAAGCTGAAGCAACTCAATTGCATCGAGATCTCTGCTCTCAATGGCAATCACATCAACGTCCCTATGGTACGGAAAAGGAGCGTCTCCAATTCCACCCAGACGAGCAGTAGCAGCAGCCAATCAGAGACGAGCAGTGCAGTCAGCACCCCAAGCCCCGTCACGAGGACACGTAGTCTTAGCGCATACAACAAAAGAGTGGGAATGTATCTAGAAGGTTTTGACCCATTCAACCAGTCGACATTCAACGATGTCATAGAGCAGAATTTTAAAAACAGAGAGAGCTTTGCGGAAGATACTGTCTTTTTCATTCCTGAGGACCACAAACCCGGAACCTTCCCCAAAGCACTCTCCAATGGCAACGTTTCTCCGTCAGAGAGCAGCACCTCCGTGAACTGGAGAACAGGAAGCTTTCACGGGCACGGGCATCTTGCCCTCCGGAGAGAGAACAGCTCCGACAGCTCCAAAGATCTGAGCATTGGGAAAAGGCGCAGTTCCTCCAGCTCCATGTGCAGTCGCCTCAGCATTTATGATAATGTGCCAGGCTCCTTCCTGTATTCCAGCACAGGTGACCTGGCTGACCTTGAGAACGAAGACCTTTTCCCCGAGCTTGATGACATTCTGTATCATGTAAAAGGCATGCAGAAGATAGTGAACCAGTGGTCAGAGAAGTTTTCTGACGAAGGGGACTCTGATTCAGCCCTCGATTCGGTTTCCCCATGCCCTTCCTCTCCCAAACAGATTCTCCTTGACGTGGACAATGATAGAACAATAGCCAGTGATCTTGATAGCACGGGAAATTCTCTGAATGATGCAGAAGAATCCACAGGAATCCAGGAAAGAAGAGACTCTGGGGTGGGGGCATCGTTGACGCGCTCAAACAGGTCAGTGAGCACAGGCCTTAGGTACGATATAAGCAGGTGGAGGGGGCTTTTTAAAAAGCTGGTAATTGTTTACAGGGTGTGTTTGAGAATGGGTTGTGAAGACCTCTTTGTTAATTTCCGTTCAGAATTGTCGAGTTGGCTTTCAGTTAAAATCATTAACCATTTCCACAAAATGGTACACACAAAGTTGCCACCCAGATAAAGAAGAGAAGAAGAAGAGATTGGATTTATACCCCACCCTTCACTACCCAGAAGAGTCTCAGGGTGGCTTACAAACTCCTTTCCCTTCTCCTCCCCACAACAGACACCCTGTGATGTAGGTGGGGCTGAGAGAGCTCTGACAGAAACTGCTCTTTTTCAAGAACAGCTGTGCCAGAACTATGGCTTGCCCAAGGTCATCCAGCAGGTGCAAGTGAAGGAGTGGGGAATCAAACCCAGTTCTCCCAGATTAGAGTCCATGCACTTAACCACTACACCAAACTGGCTCTAAAGCTTACTGGATGAGGGTGAACAAGTTGAAAGTTAATCCTAACAAGACAGAGGTTCTCTGGATTAGTAGAAAGGCAGACGGGGGACTTGAGATCTCTCCTGTCTTGGATGGGGTTATACTCTTCCTCAAAACCCTGATGTGCATCTGGGGAGTGCTGCTTGACACAGCAGTCACCTTAGAAAACCAGGTGGCTGTGGTGGCTCAGAGTGCTTTTGCCCAACTTCGGATGGTGTGTCAGCTGCATCTTTCTTGGTTCAGTCAGATCTAGCCACAATGATCATGTCTTAGTTACACCTAGACTGAACTGTTGCAATGCACTCTACTTAGGGCTACCCTTGAAGAGTGTTTGGAAGCTGCAGGTAGTGCAGAATACTGCAACTAGACCAGGAACGTGTAACCCTGATGCTACAGCAATTAACACTGGCTACCGATCCACTCTGGAGCCCATTTCAAGGTGTTGGTTTTGTCCTTTAAAGCCTTACATGGCTCAGGACCAGGGTGTCTGAAGGACCATTTTCTCCCGTATATTTCTGCCCTGGAATTAAGATTGTAGGGAGAGTCCCTCCTGACTGTCCCACCAATCAAAGAAGCTCATCTGGTGGGCCCACGAAAGAGGGCCTTCTTGATGGCAACAGTATGCCTACCCCCCCCCCCTTCAATTCAGGAGGCAGCTGAGGACACTTGACTAATTTTATTTAGGGAGTGCATTTGACTAATTTCATTTTTATTTATTAGCAGTCTCAGTTGAGATTTTAAACTATCGTTTTGAATGTTTTATAACCATTGTTTTATATTAAAAGCTGCCTTAAGTTCCCCAAGGTAGAAGGTGGCTAATAAATGTTTAAATAAATACATACATACATACATACCTGATAGAAAAGACAGCCAAACTGTAAAGTCAGCAGCATAATTCATTTCCCAGTTCCCAAAGGCTTTCAAAATAAGAATAGTTCCAGAAACTGTGTGTGTATGTGAGTGTGCGTACACAAGCACAGAGAGAGAGATTCATCTTGTTTTGACAAGGTGGGTTTTTTTCCCCCTTTACAGTACTTCATATATTATGGTGGAATATGTCTGTGAATAAAGATGAATCCAGAATCTTGAATGCATTTAGATATGCCTGGACAAAATCTAGAAATGTTCAGTATGTCTTGCAGCGATGTGTTTCTCTTATAGCTTAAGGCAAATTGCTGTGTGCACAACTAGGCAGGTCAAGAGGTGCTCAGACAAATCCCCAAACAATCTACACCAGCCCCTTTTTTTCTGTTCTGTATTTACCCATATGTTGGATCACTTCATAACTTACCCAGGCCCATACAAATTATGCAATTGCCTGGAGGAGAGCTTCACAAAATATCTCTCCTTATATATAATTGAATAGTGGGTGCCAAAGTTCTAATTCTAAAATGCACTCCCTTAGTGTATGGCTGATAGCACTGCTCCTCAGCATATATCGCCACCAATCAGAAGGCAAAGCCCGGGTCCCGCCCACACCACAACTGCTGCGACAACCTGGTCTTTTGCATATGGAAGCTGATTGGACTTCAGTCCTTTCCACACCTCAAAATCCCCCCCCGCAAGGCAGTTGGAATTTTCAGTTGCATAACATACCTCATAGGGGAGAGGAGAATGGGTAACAATGGTTACCACTCTCCAGGTGAGGGCTACAGATAACTCAAACATACAAATGCTCTTCAGGTAGCAGAGATCAGTCCCTCTGGAGAAAACAGTGGACTCTGTCATTAAACCCTGCTGAGGTCGCCACAGGAAACTGACACTGTTTGCCCAAAGCCAGAGCACTCTCCCAGAGCCTCTTTCTAGATCCCGTTGTATTTATTTCCGCAACGGGCATTATTTCTAGTATGTACATAAAGAGCATAGAATTTAAATTGAAATTACTCATGAAAACACTTGAACATCCAAAATATTTGTTCCTTAACGTTTCCTGTGATAGTTACATGCAGACTCTGAAACTGAGCTTTGTTTTCCCAAAGTATTTCATCTGTGTCTTATTAAAATAATAATAATTCATTAGCTTATGTTAGAGGTGTGAGGCTCCAATATGGCCCACAGGCATTCTGCCAAACACTGCACAATTCACTGATATCCAGAACCAAGGAAACATTAATGGCAAGTCGGCATACTTAACTCACGGGCATTTCTTTGAAACCCTGTCATGTGCTTGAGGCAAGCAGAAGGCCCTCACCCTGGAAAGCTGAAACAGGCCGAAACCGGGTAGTAGGCATCAGAGGGAACCCTCCCCTTTTTTATGCTGTCTTTCTCACCATTGGTCTTGTGGTCTTTCCCTCCATGGGATAGACTCCAGGAAGTGAAAAGAGAAGTTTTGCACCAGATGATTAACAAACTGAAGTGGGATTGGTTTATTGATAGATGTGACATCTGTAAAATAAGGAATTTGGTCCTCCAGTTCATTTGCGTTTTACACTCTTGGCCCATATGATGCAGGTTGCCGTCTAACTCTCAGCTGTGGCATCACGATTTTCCTTACAGCCGTGTTGTGCCTCTGGTGAATTTTAAGAATTTTATCCCCAAAATTTATCATAGGCTGGGTGGTAGGGTTGTTCTCAAAACTGCTCTGCAGTCTTTGGAGTAAAAGAAGTGCTAGTTCAGGGGAGACACGAGTCCTTACCCACTTCTTAATGTATGTTCCTCCTTCAGACAGGAGACCATTGCTGGTTTGTGCCCTCCCACTCGGTACAGTATGGTCAGCTAATCTTTACTGAGAGTGTAAAGTTTGCTTCATAGAATCTGACTGGAGTAACCCAAAAAGCCTTTCAAACTGAAATGGTTCAGATCCCTTCAGACTAAATCACTTAACTACGACAGTTTGGGAACCTTTGATCTGTAAGCACAGGTCGTTTTACTAGGTCCTCATAGGAGGCTGGACAATCAAAGCAGGTTTCTCAGGAGCTTGGTTCCCCCCGTGCTTATAATGCCAGCAGGAAGAGGGCACAAAAATGTTTATAAAGCCCTGGGAGACCCTCATAAACGCAGGCCGCATGCAGTGAACTCGGGCATATCTAGGCTCTTGTGGCTCTGTAATTCAGTCTGTTTTGCTGTTATGAACTGTACCAGGTAGGACAGAAACACCAAAAGCTTACTTCTGCCGTCCACAAGATGTGAGGTCTTGAAACAGAGCAGCTAATAATTCCTGTAGGCAGTCCTGCAGTACTGTGTGGTTTCAAGGTCACTGAGTTTGGTTTTTTGATCTTCCCCTACCAAATACAATGTCACAAACGGTCTTTCTTTTCCCTCTCCTCCTCTTCAAGGCACCGAATGAGATGGCACAGCTTCCAGACCTCGCACCGGCCCAGCTTAAGCTCAGCATCTTTACAGATCGACTGTCAGTCCGTGGTGCAGATGAACCTGCTGCAAAAATACTCCCTCCTGAAGTTAACTGCCCTTTTGGAGAGATACACGCCTTCCAATAAACATGGCTTCAGCTGGTGAGATAGTTGACCAGTCAAAATCCTACAAGCATTACACCTGGGCTTTATTGCAGGTTGCCAACGGGCTTTGGATTTATTTATTTTTTAAGAGTCACACACTGCCTCTGAGAGATGCTGAGCTCTGACTTCTCTCGAGGGCTTTTAGGTATTCCCAGCGGAGGGGCAATTAAATACAGAAACCCCCCCCCGGTAAGCCTTTGAAAGCTTAGCTTGGTGAAAGATGATAGACCAAGAACACCCTCTTAAGTTTTGTGGCTTCACACTTTCTATCAGATAAATGACCTTGAAAATGCTTTATTCACTAGTCTCTATTGCCCTTGTATGGGATTGTAAAGCAGCCATAACTGCAATATGGGAGATTCACCCCCCCACACACACATTCTGCTGCTACTTCACCATCCAGTCCAGCCTCCTCCTTCCTTTCCCTGGGACTCAGAGAGAGTATTTTAACTCCAGCATCAAAGGTCCTCCTGTTCAAAGGCTGTTATTATGAAAGCAGGGCTAAATACAGAAGTTGTTTGTTCAGAGAGACAGAAATAAGTATTGACCAGTTTATTCTTGCATACTTCAGATTCTCAGCAGACATCGTAATGTGTGTGTATGTGTGGTTTTTTTCCCCTTTCTGCATTCCGCTTCTGTGTGTTTTAACAAGACGAGTATTATGCACATGTTTAGAGCAGTAATGCCCTATCTTAAACTGTGTTGAAATACAAATGGGTCGGGAGAGTTTTTGGTACAGCAGATATAGTCTCCCATAAACCTGGTTGTTTTCCCTTTTTTTTATATAGCGATACCGTTTACTGAGAATTAACGTGGCTCTTGCCGTTCCCCTGTTCTGCTGTTTCGTGCTGATATTTTACATTAACATACTTCTTAGCTGTTCTCAGCTTAAAATAGCATATTATTTCATTTTGCTGAAATAGCAGTGTTCTTGAATTTTGTGGGTAGATTTTTTCCCCTGCTGGCCAAAACCAAACGGAAAGGCCTTTTACTGAAGTGGGTGGGTGAAGTGCTGGAGAAGGAAGGTGTGCGGAGCGGGAGGGGGGAAGGGGGTGATGCCTTGAAAAGGTCATTTGTCGGACTAAAACTTCTTGCTGGCAAACGCCAATGTATTACATCAGTTTCCTGCTGTGACCCAGGCTGGTGGGTGGTGGGGCTGGTTTGGAGCACTTTCGAAAGCAAGTGGTTTGCACACAAAAAGCTCATTGTTCACATGTCCGTCATTCCCAAGAGTCCCAAAGAAGCAAGATTATAAAGGGTCATTGAATGCTACATTGCGTTTGACTCTTAACAGATTTCGACATGGCCACCCTTGTGCTGTCCTGTACCTTTTGGCCTGTTGGATTCTAGTGTAAGAGCCCTGTGTACAGCTGTGATGCGAACAGTGTAAAATGGTTAATTAATAAGCTGAAGGGAGTTGTCAGTTAACTGATAATTCAGTTCACAGTGTAGCCACAGATAAGAAATTTGTGGTGGGACCATCTTCGTTAGATGGGGCCATGTCCAAGAATTCACTCCATGCATCAAATCAGCTATAACCTGCCTGGGTTGTAGTAGTCTTTATTCAGACAACTGCTGGTGAGGCAGTTTTCCAACCCTCAAATGAGTCAACTGCATTTATTTAAGAGAGATGATATCAATTAAATTTTGTCAAAATACTGCCCATGTTGATATTGACTGGACTAGATTTGCTGCTTCACAAGGTAAAGACAAGACACTGAACTAAAATAAAAGTTGGACATCAGTCTTTAATTGGAAGATCTGTCAATGGAAGCAACAAACTGATAGAATTAAAGAGCATGTTTGTTTATGGAATTTGTTCATTAGAAAGCGCATGTTGAATCAGTTAAAAAGGGTTTAACTGGATGAGAGAACTAGTAAAAAACACAAAATCAGTCTTTGGTTCTGCGTTCTAATATTCCATTTGGTTTTAGAGTCCCTTCCATCCGCCCCATGTTTCCATAGCATAATAGAATGCTGTGATTCAGAAGTGTACTCAGGCTTTCCATACTATTCTCAGTCAAGTGAAGTGCTGGCATGCTTCTTTTTCAGCAGCCCACAGTTTGAAATAGAAGTGGGTGGGATGGGTGCATGCACGTGCGTGTGTGTGTGTGAGAGAGAGAGAAACTTTGAAATTACTGTCTTTTCCCCCCCTCCTTTACAGGGCTGTGCCAAAGTTTATGAAGAGAATAAAGGTCCCTGATTATAAAGACCGAAATGTGTTTGGAGTTCCCCTCACAGTTAATGTCCAGCGTACTGGTGAGCCTCTTCCACACAGTATTCAGCAAGCCATGCGGTACCTTCGCAACCAGTGCCTGGATCAGGTTAGATTTCTTGCTTTACAGTTGCTTTAGAGCCATCCACATTCCTGGAATCCTTATTTTTGCCATTTTTTTGTTTTTTGGAACTCTTCTGGAACTCTTATTTAGTAATTGCAGCTTGTTAAGATGTTGCTTTTGAGATTTTTTTTGTAAATGGTCAAATATTTGGAGTCAAATATTAATTCCAAAACTCAAAGTAATATCAGCAGGCATGTTCTGCCCCCACCATATCAGTATCTCAGCTTATTCAAATACGCAGAAAGAGCCATGCGATTTCGTTTTTCAGAGACTGTACTGCTGCCAGTGGGAGCTCAGGTGTTTGGATGTTCTCCCACATAACTATAAATGATATTCACGTGAAATGCCAAAGTGTCAGGAAGAAGATTGGTCAGCAGCCATCCTCCCTGATCTACCTTTACATTGTAGGAAGTTGTTTTATGGGCACAAACCTTCAAACATCTGATCTAGCACTTGGAACAGTGTCTGTATGAAAATGGTGTAGTGTGGTAATGGTTGCTTTCCACTCTGTTTCTTCAGAAAACCAAATGCTGGATTTGAATTCCAGTGTCATTTATTTTGGTTTTGATTAAAATATTTATGCCTGGTCTTTCCTGTTGGAGCAAGGCAACTTACAAATAATAACTAAAACATTACCCATTAAAATCAAATAAACTTTTAAAAACCCTCCCCCGAAAAAAAGGATGCTCAGAATACCTCCTCAGAAGCCCTGGCAGACAAAGAAGCCTTGCAGTGTCTCCTAAACATCTCCAACAAGGAGGCTCACCTGACCCCTTTAGGGAGCCTGTTCCATAGACATGATGGGAAAAGTCTAGGCTCTGGTCAATGCCCGGAGGGCAACCCTAAGTGGAGGAACAGCCAGCAGGTAGCAGCCAGAATACCATAGGTGGCACACAGGAACATATGTGGTCAGATGGTCCTTCAGATAGGGTCTTTAAAGGTCATAACCAGTGCCTTGAATAAAACTCAGAACCAAACTGGCAGCCAGTGCAGCTGTTTCAAAATGGGCAACATGTTCCCGTCAGCTAGCCCCTGACAATAATCGGGCTGCTGCATTCTGTGCCAGCTGCAGCATCTCAGTTGTCTTCAAGGGCAGCCCAATGTAAATCATGTTACAGTAATCCAACCATGAGGTTACAAAAGCATGGACGGGTGTAGCCAGATTAGCTGTGTCTAAGAAAGGAGAGAGTTGGTGAGAGTTAACTTAGAAACTTGCATTTCACACTGTCCACCAAATGCCTGTTGAAGCCCCAAATAACCCTCCTTCTAATGAGTGAGTCTTTTTCACGTAGGTTGGGCTTTTCCGAAAGTCTGGAGTCAAGTCAAGAATCCAGGCTTTGCGACAGATGAATGAGAACTCCGTGGGCAAAGTCAGCTACGAGGGCCAGTCTGCTTACGATGTGGCAGACATGCTGAAGCAGTTTTTCCGCGATCTGCCAGAACCGCTCATGACCAACAAGCTTTCAGAGACTTTCTTACAGATCTACCAGTGTAAGCCCTGGATTAGTGTTATTTATCTTTTATTCCCATATATACGGACACCTCTTTACAGGATGCAGTTCATCAAGCTTGGGCCTTTTAAAAAAAAAAAATATGTCCTCTATCTGAGGACTATATATTGAATGGATTTTTGGAATTGGGAAATCTATTTTTTAAAAAAAGAAAAAAAAACAACTTTCAAAATGGGAAGCAGTTTTGTACCAAATTGTTCTCATAAGCAAGAGAACACTCACTTCTGCTTCTGTAGACTACTGGGTTGTGGTAGAGTGGACAGGCAATTTAAATCGTTTAAAAATAAATAAAACAGTGATCATTAAAATCAGTTTTGCATATGTCTTGCTGCCATGATTCCTGGTTTGCAGGGGCACCTGGTGGTTAATATGCTTTTAGAGCTCCACAACTGGACACAACAAACATCCTTGCGTGTGCCTATTGCTGTGTGTAGAGATGTGTGGTTTGGGACCCTCGTGAACATTTATGAAGGGAAACAGAACAAGCTGCCTCTGACCCTTCCTAAAAGTGCACACAGGGGAAAACCTTAGAACTAATCACCAGCTGCTCCGAACTTGGGGTGGGAAATGAACAGATATGGTAGAAGTCGCCCACACACATCCAGTGCGATGCAAAGAGGATCGCCTACTAGAGGACATTCAGCCACCAGACTTAGTTGGTGAGGGGAGGAAGGATTCTCTTGGCTCAGGATCCTCTCCGTCTCCTGAACTTTGTGCTTTTTTGAAAGGTCTGCGTCACAGTGTAACACACTGAGTTACTCTCTGGAAGGCCCTTTGAAATATCCCTGTGGTGTAGCAAAACTAATCAATGTCTTTTTTCACTGTTTTTCCCCACACACACCATTTTCAGGCTATATAAAAAGCACGCCAGAATTTTTGCCAATGAAACTGTTTCACTTCGTAACTGTGGCACTGTGTGATAGGAGGAGCCTGTACATCAGTGATTTTTCACCCCCTTCCCCTCCTTCACTGCATCACTGTTCATTGAAGCAGTCCTCTCTGCTTAGCGAAGCACAGTCTGGACATTTCCTGGTGCCAAAGTCAGGAATGGTATATAGGCTATTTATTTTAATTGCCTCACCTCTTGAGGAACGTGTTTCACTGATGTGTATGGATTTTTCTCGGAGTCTAGATTGGCTGAGCTTTGTGTTTGTGTTTTTGTCACCACCCATGTTCATAAATGAGATCGGGGCTCCTTCAGTTTTTAACTGCCCTTTTAGTCAGTCGGCAGAAACGTGTGGCTCTCAAAATTAAATTCTAAAATTAACTCTGGAATATGTGCAGCTTTGTTTTAACTGTTGAGTCTCTCCGTGGGCAGGAAATACCTGAGGGCAGTTAAACTGTTGACCAAAAAAAAAAGAAGACCCTCCGTGTGCCATGAATGGTATGCAGTGCACTGAAGGAAATCGCTTCAGAGTTTGCTTTGGGATGTGTTCATGCTATATGTGTGGAAAATCCAATGAGCTGACGAGCGGATTGCTAATCTCATGCAGATGTGCCAAAGGACCAGCATCTCCAGGCAATCAAGGCAGCCATTATGCTTCTCCCAGATGAGAACAGGGAGGTTCTTCAGATTCTCCTTTATTTCTTGAGTGATGTCACGGCTGCTGTGAAGGAAAACCAGATGACGCCGACAAACCTTGCTGTGTGTTTAGCACCTTCTCTTTTCCACTTGAACACCCTCAAGAGGGAAAATTCTTCTCCAAGGCAAGTCTCCAGGTAGCTGAGGCCTGTGTCCCAACCCGAAGCCCCTGCTGGTAGTTGCTAAAACTGTTCAAAACTGAAGGTGTATGACATTGAAATGCTGGCTCATGCATGCATTTATACCATTTGGCCACTCGGCACTTGCTTTTGTACATTGGGCTCAGACTCATCAAATGTTGAGTCAGCTACCTGTGAACAGCATTGTGTTTGATTTAACCCTGAGCAATAGAAAAGCGCTAACGATCATTGCATTAGCTCATTTATATATGCAAGTCATCATTTGGTTCTGCAGGCAACAGCTATTGAATATGCATGTATGAAAGAAACCATAATTCACCTGGATGTAACATTCATTATAGATTAAAAATGAGATGGTTAAAAATGAATATGTTTTGAGGAGCACAAGACTTATCATTTAAGCATGGCTCATAGCTTATTCTATATATTCTCTGTTACTTCAGTGCATCCTTGTCAGTTTTCCTTTTCATTAATTCACCTTTGTTTGTTGTTAGGGTGATGCAGAGGAAACAGAGTCTAGGAAAACCTGATCAGAAAGATTTAAATGAGAATTTGGCTGCAACGCAGGGCCTGGGTCACATGATTGCAGAGTGTAAGAAACTCTTTCAGGTGAGACATTATGGACTTTTGTAGGGCAGAAGAAGTCCCCAGTTTTGTTGAACCTATGGGCACTTTTGGAATTTTGAAAACAGATAGTGGGCACAACCAAATATGGCTACCATGAGAGGAGGCATGGCTGACTACAAAATGGCTGCCTTACAAGCCAGGGCCAATCAGAAGTTGGGAGCTTCCAAAGCAAGTGTCCTCCTATGATGAAGGCAATGATATGAAGTGTGGGAGATGTCTCAAATTATGAGCTGTCAACTGTTTTCTCCCTTTTGTCCTTTACCCACTTCCTAGATCCCTGAAGAAATGAGCAGATGTCGGAATTCCTACACAGAGCAAGATCTCAGGCCACTGAGCTTGGAGGAACTAGGTCGAAATAGCAACTCTGAGCCTGCAGACTATCATCCATACATCCAGGACTGTATGGATGATTTGCTGAAAGAGATTAAGGACAAATTTAAAGGCTGGGTCAACTGTTCCACCTCAGAGCAAGCAGAGCTTGCTTACAAGAAGGTATGTTAATGTGTTTTGTTGGTGTTCATGGCTTTTAAGATGTGATTTTATTATGTATGCTTTAATTCATTAGCCGAGTTGGTGGCCCTTGCAAGGGCAGAAAGGCAGGGGTATACATTTTGTAAAATAAAATTTCAGAGTGGCTATATGGTTTTGGTAAGGGGCTGTGGTGGCTCAGTGGTTAAGACGCTGAACTGCAGACTGGAAGGTTAGTAGTTCAGCAGTTCAAGACCTGAGTGCCGCATGACAGAGTGAGCTCCTGTCTCTGGTCCCAGCTCCTGCCAACCTTGCAGTACGAAAGCAAGAAACTGGAAGTAGATAAATAGGTACCACTTCAGTGGGAAGATAACAGCGTTCTGTGCGCCTCGGCATCTAGTCATGTTGGCCACATGACCACAGAAACGTCTTCAGACAGCGCTGGCTCTTTGGCTTGGAAACGGAGATGAGCACCGCCCCCTAGAGTCGGATTCGACTGGCTTTTTAAGCAAAGGAAACCTTTACCTTATATGGGTTTGGTACCTTTGTTTAATTTTTAATGCATTCCACTCACAGACACAGCACATTTTGAAAAGTGGAAAAGTTTATGAGCTTTAGTTAAAATCATATTTGCAGGGCTAGATACCATACATGTGTAGGTGATGTGTTCTAATTTCAGCATGGTTAGAACCACCGTAACATTTGAGGCATAAGAAAGGTAGATGGAAGTGAAAAGTGCTATGAAATTTAAGACCATTTCCCAAGTATTTAGAACATTCAGGGCCAGTTCACACCAAGGCCTGTGAGCGGATCCACATTGTCAGAAGCCTCTGGCTGAATGCAGAAGATTATCTGTTCTGACAATTACTGCAAGCACTCTGAGGCCAGTCCAATATCCACTTATCCTCTTAAGAGTGCATAGCTTCTTCAGGGAGCAACAGCGAGGGACAAGGAAAAGAAGAGGCAGCGAGGGAGATTTGGGTCAAAATCAATAGCTGTTGTAGTCACCCAGAGACTTCTCAATATGATAGGGCTTATTTCACTGGTTCCTGTTTTTTGAAAGTAGAAATCTGCTCTTTTACACTGACAATAAGAGACTGAAGTCAATGGGTCATTCGAGAAGTAAGTGCCTTGATCATAGGATCCCTTGAATGCTATTCACAAGCCGTAATATACAAGTTATGTATTAAATTACGATTTGGTTTTTTAGATCTTTTGCCATGAAGAAATGTGTTCATGGCTTATGCTATCAGAGATGTAACAAGTTCCTTTAAAGCACTGATGATTTTGGAATAGTTAATATTATTTCTTATCCTTAACCATCTCATTTACAGAGAATCCCAGTGTGTGTTGATTCTGCATCCTAACTTGCAATCTGAACTCATTTCTTGGGGACACTGTGACTGTGGCCCATGAATTATGAACTCCAGTAATCTTGCCTATCTCTTGGGATGGTCAGAAACGAAACACTAGCTAGATCTTTGCTTTCAACCTTGAATGTACTCTTTTGACCTTTACGAAAAATCTTAAAAGGCTGGCTGTATCAAGATAGTTAAATACATAAATGAAACTCAGATTTCCATGGTTGTGATGTTTTTCAGGTATGTGAGGGTCCACCTCTCCGCTTGTGGAAGTCTACAATTGAAATCCCTGCAGTTCCCGAAGAGGTCTTAAACCGTATACTTAAAGAACAGCACCTTTGGGATGAGGATCTTTTAGATGCCAAAGTGATTGAGACTTTGGACAGCCAGACTGATATATACCAGTATGTACAAAACAGCATGGCACCGCATCCAGCCAGGGACCATGTAGTCTTAAGGTAAATCCCTAAATTTCAACACAAATAGGTTTGTGAAGGAGGGAGCTCACAACATGGTTATTGTAATGTAGCACATGTATCAGCAGAAAAATTGATTCATCATCTTCAGTTATTTTTCTCAAACATCTGATTTGTTTTAGATAGGACTTGTTTTAAATATGATTGTGCTTTTTTTAAAAAAAACAGGACTTGGAGAACAAACTTATCTAAGGGAGCTTGCGCTCTTCTGTGCTCGTCCGTGGAACACGATCGTGCTTCAGTCCTTGGCGTGAGAGTAAATGTGCTTTTGTCCAGGTATCTCATTGAGCCATGCAGTTCAGGAAAATCCAAACTTACCTACATGTGTAGAATTGATTTAAGGTAAACTTTTTAAACTCTACGCTCTCTTGATCTCTTTGTATTGTATAGTTGTACGCTGAATTGCAAGGTAGCCATGTGTTGTCGTTGCTGTCCCATTCCATCCTGATTCCTAATTGCAGAATGAGAAATCATGATTTATGTTTTAATTCAGAGGTGCACCAGATTTGCCTTCCATATGAACCAAATTCTCAGTAGGTATTCCTGATTGAAGTCTGCTTTTGCCCTGGACCAGCATCACATTTGACCTCCAAAATCCATTTGTCCTGTCGGATTTTGGCTGCTTCCATTTGCACTGCCCGGTTTTCCTCTGTTTACAGTTGCTCTGTTTTTGTGACTGCATACCGTGCTCACAGATGCTCTCCACCAGTAGTGCTCGCAGTCAACAAGGCAAAAATGTGACTCTTTGGTTAGGGTTATTGTTGTTGTTATTCAGTCACACAGTTGAGTCCGACTCTTCACAGCCCCATGGACCACATCACACCAGGCCCTCCTGTCCTCCGTCGTTCTCCAGAGTTTGCTCAATTTCATGTTCGTTACATCGATAACACTGTCTAACCATCTTATTCTTTGTTGTTCTCTTCTTCTTTTACCTTCAGTCTTCCCCACCATCTAGGGTTGCCAAGTAGAAAATCGTCGGGAGCAGGGGACTCCCGTCCGGTGTCCTATGTGCGCGAGAAGCACGTGCGCGCCGCACACACGTCACCAGGAACTGACGTTATGATGCCGGGCATGCTGGGGGCGGGGCCATGACCATCCAAGGGGGAGACATAGAGTTCCCCCCTCGGATGGTCGTGGCCCCGCCCCCAGCGTGCCCGGCGTCATAACGTCACTTCCTGGTGACGTGCACTCCGGGCTGCGGGGAACGGGACTCTGTGGCGGGGGTTTCCCCGCCCCCCGGGGGACTTGGCAGCCCTACCACTATCAGGATCTTCTCCATTATTATTACTCAAAATATTTTTATGTTGCCTTTCCTTCTGATCAGGGTCTCCAAAGTAGCACACATAAAAAACATTAAAACATTTCAACAATTAAGAACAACATTTAAAATTCCAAACCAATTCAATAAAAACACAAACAATCAATACCAGAATCAGAGAGGAGAGCCAATAATTGTTATGGGGGGTATGCCAAATGAAACAAAAAAAGTCACCCACTGGCGGAAAACATCGACAGAGGGAGACAGGCTAATCTTCCTGGGGAGGGAGTTCCAAAGTTTTGGCTCCATGACCGAGAAAGCCCTTTCTCGGGTTGCCACCCATCTAGCCTCTGATGGCAAGAGCAACAGAAGCAGGGCCTCTGAGGAGGACTGGAATGAGCAGGTAGGTTTGTATGGGGGAAGGTGGTCCTTAAGGTATGTTGATCCCAGGCCACGCAGCGCCATAAAGTCCAATACCAGCACCTTGAATTGAGCCCAGAAGCAAACTGGTCCATGTGACATTCTGGCCACAGTGTTCTGTATCAACTGCAGTTTCCAGACAGTCTTCAGGGGCAGTCCCATGTAGAACACATTGCAGTGATCTAATTAGGTGTTAGCAGGGCATGTACCACAGTGGCAAGACCTTCCCTGCCTAAGAAGGGCTGAAGCTGGTGAAAGGCATCCTTGGCAACGGCTGTCACCTGTTTATCCAACAGGCGGCCCGGGTTCAGGAACACCCCCAAGCTGCGAACCTGCTCCTTTTGGGGGAGTGCAACACCATCCAGAACAAGAGAGAGCCCATTTCCTGAGTCAGACTTTCCCCCCACCTGTAGCACCTCTGTTTTGTTGGGATTAAGTTTCGGTTTGTTAGCCCTCATCCATTCCAAAACTACCTCCAGGCACCTGTCCACAGTTTCCACTGCCTTCCTGGGATTTGCTGGTAGCGTGAGATAGAGCTGAGTGTCATCTCCATACTGGTGACACCTCAGCCCAAATCTCTGGATGACCTCTCTCAGCAGTTCTACACAGATATCAAAAAGTATCAGGGACAAGATGGAACCTTGGGGAACCCCACAGGCCAAAGGTCAAGAGGCAGAGCACCAGTCCCCCAGCACCCCCACCTACCCTCAGGGTAGGATCGAGACCACCACAGAACAGTGCCTCCGAGTCTGAGTCCCAAAAGTCTATTCAGAAGGATACTATGATAGATGAAAGTGACAGCCACTCAGAGTTCCAGGAGAATTAACAGGATTGCGCTCATGCACACACACACATATTCATCTCCTGGTGCGTGTCATCTCCCCCCCCCCTTCCCCAGCCAAGGACTTATTTTAGAAATATATATCTCATTTGTATTTTTTCCCCTTCAACCAGATATGTTGCTTCACATGTACATTTTCTTTTGTTACAACAGGGGGCACAAGCCTGACTGGTATGCAAAGGCTTTTGGACATTTATGTGCGGCTAAAGTTGTGAAGATCAGAGATTCTTTCAGTAAGCAGAATGTTGAGAGTAAGGAAGCAAAATCCAGGTGACTACTGAAGTGGACCAACCCTACATTCAACCCATCGCCACCGGTGTGCATAGATATACCCAGGAGCTGGTGATTGTCTGCTGCAGAATGGCTCACAGTGTGGCCTGTGAAGTTCTCACGTGAACCAAGAGTATCTGGAATTGTTCTGCTCTTCTCACTCAAAAGGCTGTGGCAATAACCATGCATTTTAAAGCTGCTGCTTCCTGTCGGTGTTAGGTCTATCGTGTAGGCCTTGACTGGAATATACTGGACATTACAAAAAAAAATAATTTTTAAAGTATATTATTCTATGTGTGAATTGCTTCTGAGAAGCAAAATTCTAAGAAATATATTCTGGAATACGGTAAAAAAAATGAATTTAAGATTGCGTATCTAGCTGCGTGCTGTTTGTTGAGGGACTGTTGCATCCACTGGATTTGTTGGTACTCTTCAGTGTGTTCTCACGAAAGTAAGTGAAGAAAGGTTTGCACAGAGACAAAGGCGTTGAATGGCTTTCTGAATTTTGGACAGTCTTGGATACAGGAGTAGTAGAAGCACAGTGTCTGGTACACTCAAAGGCAGTTAGAAAGGATTTTAATATTGTGAGGAAAGAGTTCGGCCTGAAGTTTTTGTCTGCTCAATAGACCGTCACAAGCTAGTCTTGTGTGCCATGCATATGTTACCAAGGAAGTCAAAACATGGTGCCCAATGAAGAGTTTATTGGCGCGATGGGAAATATCCAGTGTACTTCAATATGTCTCTTTCAAGGGTAGTGATTCTATAACTTCTTCTATTTGAAAGAAGTGTTCTCTGCATCAGTGACACAGAGGCAAGTATGTCATTGCCCCTAGAGCGTATGTTTAACAGAACTACCACAGTCTGTGGCCTTCTGATTAGTGTACCTCTATGAAACATGTGTTTGCCGCAGTCACACTGTAAATATCTAGGCATCCATCTTAAAAACAACATGTGAAGTGGCAAGGAGTCTAGCTCCCCAACAGAGTATATTGGGAAAAGATGCTAGTAGAAACACATTCACTGTTTTTAATTCACTTCCCATCTCCCCTTATGTATAATCCCATCATTTTATCCATAAACTCCTGCTAACATACAGGCCGGACTCTTAACAGACCTTGTTTGTATAGATCTCATAGGAATACACAGAAAGCTTGCAATCTGAAGGTAGAGCTGACTTTGCTTTCAGCAGCTTAAAAAAATGACAGCACTGGAAAAAAATAGAATAACTGGAGCATAAAGGATTCTAAAGTAATCCAGTGTAATGGATACTGTGTTAGGAGTTTGAAGGTATTCATATCATCCGCTCTCATATAACCGTATTAACCTCATTTAGCCAAATACTTTTGAGGGGGGAGGGAGACTTCCAAGATCCTCAGAAATGTTGAAGGTTGGATAAGCAAAATGATTGTTGCTATTCAATTATCTGGGCAAATTGAAGGACTACAAGTTAGGATAATCGGGACGGGAGATTCAGCAGAGGGAGTATTTCATTGTCCAGGTTAGTGGCATTTAGAAGAGGAAAGGCCAGACCTGTTAACTCTTGATATAACTTCCAGTGTTAGGATGGCAGTAGCAAGTGATGCAGAATTAATACGATGCTCATCCGCATTTCTGAAAACTGTACATTCACTGTTTCAGGTGTTCTCAGCAAAATCTTTTTTTGGGGGGGTAGTCACATTGTCAAATATGACATATGTCGTAGGGAATCACAAGCATTTCTTTATTTTAAAATGTTTTGGCTGCAAGAAGGTAAAAACAGGGTACCAAGAAGGGCAGGTGGGGGATCGCTGGGCTGGACTTCACCAGTGTTTCAGACTGTGCAGGATTATGCTTCAAGTGCACCTCCATCGCTATTGGGTATGAGGCAGCAATAACAGATGCTGTTCAAATATACTGCTGTTCAGTGATTCAGTGCTGGAATATGTAGGGTCAGATCCAGACTAAATGTTCCTATTTGTGGATTAAAAGAAAAACACACACACACACACCCAAAAAAACAACCCACAGCAGTACAGACAGACTGCACAAGACAACCCAACGAACAATGTCATAATACCACAATGACTGAATTAAGGAACAGTGTGAGCAGTAAATCATCGAAAGCAAGGTATACTATAAACCATGCAGAAGGTATAAGATGATGCAGTAAAAACAGGTTATACCTACAGTAATTGTGGATTATGTCTCACTCCATTGTAATAATGGTGCCCTCCTGGGCAGAATGGAACTTCCCTGCCTCACCCCCATCTCACTGCAGCCCACAGATCTCCACGAAAAGCTGTTCCCGTTCTTGGACCCCCTGAGGAATGTCACAGGGGAAGGGGGGAACCGGTGGAAATTGCCAATGTGGTCTGGATCCAACCCATAATCTCTTAGAGCGGGCCTTTGACTCTTGCTGTGAATCTTGCCCCACTTGCAACGGTGTCCTGTGTAAGATTTGAGCTTTGGTGTAGAGACACAGTATTAGGATAGAGATGCACTGAACTAGTGTGAATAAGGTGTGAATGAAAAAAATGTAAAGTGGAAGGTAGATGGTTGGGTGGTTGTGGTTGCTGTTATTTTAAAGCAGAGGCTTTAAAGAGTTATCTGTGCTTCTGGTTGCCCTATCCCTGGCCCATCCCTCCATTTCAATTCCTTTTAAACCTCTCCTCTCCATGATCCTACAACCAGGGACAACTGGTAAGGTATGTATTGTACCAAAGATGGTGTGAAAAGCTGGACTGTTCATTCCATCTTCCTCACTTGCATTGAAGAAAAGGCCTGCGCAGCTTAGAGGTTGCCTCGTCACTCAGGCCTGTCCCTGGTTTCCCCATCTCAGGACAGCAGCATGGCTTGGTTACCATTGTCAGTATTATTTGCTTTAAAAAAAAAATTTTTTTGATGAAGAATTGTGATGTTACTCACAGGCTGTATTATGTTTGTAGTAACTGCCTGTGCCTGCCTCATTATCCCACATCATTTTGTCTCGTTTTGACCCATCCCTGATTGTTCTTTGCACATTCCGTAATACAAAGGCACACTGGCAAAAGTCAGCACAGAAATTATGAGGGAGAAGAGATGCGATATAGCAAGTTGGAGGGGGAGTGGATCCCTGGCATTTGATTCTTTTCAAGTGACAAGCTGATGGGAACAATGTTCTTCCCACAGGCGGCAAACAAAACATTGCAGGGGTGTTAGTGCAAGTTCTAATGAGGTACTAACTCCACTTGTACAACCCCAAAGGTATAAGTCACAACATCCAAGATCAGGTGTGGACTGGTACCAGCTCTTTCAGATATGTTACAAGAATCTTCTGGGAGGGGGTGGGGAGCCTTGTTAAATCATACATTTGTATCCCACTCCACCCTCAATGGTTGTGAAACTTAAGGCCAAAATGTACACATTCAAATTTTTAATGAGTTCGGTCCAGGTTCCCCGCAGCCACACAGCCACTGCAGGGAACGGCTTTAAAAAAATAATAAAGGAGCCCAGATGGGCTCAGGACACCACTGTGGAGGGGAGGGCCTTCCTTCTCAAGCTGTTTTCGCTCATGGAAACACCACAAGGGGGTTATTTCCTCATTTTTTATTTCTTATGCCCATCGGAAACAAAGAATTAACTCCCCCCAGTGCTGTTTCCACAGGGGAAAAGATGGGGGGGGCAGGAACCCTTCCTTTCCCTGTGGCAGCATTCTCAGCCTGTTTGGACTCTGTTTTTAAAAGCCATTTCCCACAGCTGCTGTGGGGCTACAGGGAACCATGTTGGGTCCAGAGAATCAGGACAGAACTCTTTAAAAACCTGACTCTGTAGTTTGCCTCTTACTGCCAGATGAATGTGTTTAGGATCACAACATTAATGTTCCTCGTGAATAGGGCAACCTTGTGCTTTCCTTGTATACGTTCCTAAATGTTTAAATGTGTAAAATTGTATGTTGTACATACCATCCTGTTGTAAACGTGTACACTTGCTCACAATTTATTGTCCAATATAAAGCATGAACATAATTATTTAAATATACCTGTATTTATACCTCAGATACTCTTTTGGGGGAGGGGAGGATTTTGTACCTCAAGTCGTCTACCCTTCCTCCCCCCTCATGTAAATAAGTTCTACACAAGTAAGGTCTAAGTAAAAGAAGGAAAGGTTTATATCTTGCTGTTATATGTCTGTACAGTATATAATCAATAAATGCACTATTAAATGTTTATATTTGTGAGACAATTGAACAGTATTTACTCATATAGCCAGTTTTCTGCAAGAGTTATAAAAATATGGGTTTGAAACCAATTTTTTTGGATCTGGTCCTCCCTGCAGGCCAACAACCAACCACTCATATGTACTGATGCTGCATCTTCAGTGATGGCACTTTCCTTAAGGCAGAAGTGTCGAACTCATTTGTTACAAGGGCCAGATATGACATAAATGCCACTTTGTCAGGCCATGTGTGCCATAAAAGGTAATGCTTTGTAAAGGACACAGGAAAGCCCAAATAATAATTATTATTGTTATTGTATGTATGTATGTATGTATGTATGTATGTATTTACTCAAAATACAAACAAAAGCAATTGATTCCCAGCAGTGAAAGCAATTGCTTGACTGGGGAGCCCACAGAAGCCCCAATAAATGTATTTAATCATAGGCAAGACTTGGGCTGATTTCGCACTAGAGCTACCTCAATGTTGCGCCGCCGTTTGCCCCGATATTATTAGTCAATTTCACACCCGAAGCTGCAGGGCTGCATTTTGACTCGCAGCTTTGCTCGATTTCCCCCACAGTTTTGTGATCCTGTTTTTTGAGGATCACGAAACTGTGGAGGAAATCGGGCGAAGTCGGGGGTCAAATGCAGGCCCGCGGCTTCAGGTGTGAAATTGACCAATAGTATCGGGGCAAACAGCGGCGCAACATCGAGGCAGCTCTAGTGCGAAATCAGCCTAGGTTTCCTCCAAGGGAAACCATAAAAGGGGGAATTCCTTGATCTTCTTTGTGGTCTCTGTGCTTCACACCAATGGGATCAAAAACGAAACCTAAGGTACCAAATGTTCCTTCCACAGCGTCAACCCCTGCTAAGAAGGACAAGAAGTGGAAGCCTGCGGTGGCGACGCATACGGTGGTCAAGGCTGCGAAGCCTGCTAAGAAGGACTCTGTGCCAGCAGTCCCGGCCCTTCCGCCACCGCCGACTACTTTGATACCGACTGGTTCAACACCGATTGACTCGATACCGGTGAACCAGGTCGTGTCTGAGACTACGGTACTTGTGCTGGTTTC